ATTCAACCACTTCGTTTCCTGGCTGATTGTCGCGGTACCACAAAAACCTGAGCATGTCTCTGCACTCTTCTTGAACCACAAAGCAGTGGAACATCTGCTCTATATCTGCTAAAACTCCTATTGGGCCTATTCTGAATCTCATCAGAACTCCAAGTAGACTGTTATTTAGGTCTGGACCCTGCAGCAAAACGTCATTCAGTGAGACACCGTCAAACTGTGCAGATGAATCAAACACGACACGTATTTGGCTGGGTTTTTGCGGATGATAAACTCCAAAAGTGGGTAAGTACCACCTTTCCTTTTCTTCTTCGAGTGGTGGAGCAAGCTCAGCGTGATGATTATTAAACAGTCTTTGCATAAACTCAAAAAAGTGCCTTTTCATTTCAGGTTTCTTCTGAAGATTGCGTTCCAGAGAGGCAAAACGTTTCTCTGCATATTCTCTGTTATTAGGTAGCTTACGTCGAGGATGCCGGAATGGGAGAGGGGCGATCCAGCTATTTGAGTCATCTTGGAGAAAGCCTTTTTCCATTATTTCCAGGAAGCGTTTGTCTTCAATAGAGGGAGCTAACTGGTGATCATGAATTGTTCTTGAAAACACTGAAAGTGTGTCTGATGTTTCTGTGTACAAGTCTCTTACTTTTATTTTGTTCTCACACTCTAAAAATGTAGAAGGTCTGCCACTGTCAGATATGTATGTCTTCATGCTGCTCACTGTTGGAGGCCCATGCATTCCATTGACACAGACATCACCGACTACCACCCAGCCGAGATCCAGCTTTTGTGCAAATGGTTCATTATTCAGTCCATTTATCTGTTTTCGTACTTTGTGCACCCTCAACAGATCTCTTCCTATCAGCAGGAGAATCTCAGCATTGGGGTCGAGAGGAGGGATTTCTGAAGCCATTTTGTTCAGATGCTTGTGGTGAGAGGCCACTTCCGGCGTCGGGATTTCTTTCCTGTTGTTAGGGAGATTGTCACATTCAATCAACGTGGGAAGCTGCAGACACGTTTCTTTGTCTAGAGACTCTATGACATAACCATGGGCTCTTCTTCCATAGGCTTGTGTTGCGCCCATACACGTTGTGATGCTGTAAGGAGCCTCGGTGCCGTGTATGTCAAACTTATCAAAAAACTCACTTCTCGCCAGGGAGAGATTGCTCTGGTCATCCAGAACTGCATACATCCTCATACTCCTCTGCTGTTGACCTGAGGGATACACGTTAACCAGAATAATCTTGGAACACGATTTACCACTTTGTCCTATGCCACAGACTTTAGTGCAGTTTGAGCTTATTTCCTGTTTCGTCTCTTCCTCCCCGCCGTCCTCTGCACACGGTGGGGGCTGACTTGAGGATTGAACAGTGCTTATTCCACTGAAATGCATGGCACTAACATGTTTGTCACTTGCACATTCCAAACATTTGATTGGAGCTTGACAGTTTTT